AAAAAAAAAAAAAGAACAAGACAAGGTATTCTCCACAGATTGGGAGAAGATGTTTGCAATACATATATCTGACAAAGACTTTTATCCAAATTACATAAAGAATTCTTACAAATCATTCAATCGTTATACAAAGAATTCCTATAAAGAAAAAGAGATTCACTAAAAAATAAGGAAAAGATCAGGCAAGCCACAAAAGAGGATATACTAGAAGTCTATAAACATGAAGAGGTACTTAGCCATCTTTACTCATCAGGAAAATGCAAGTTAAAATGACAATGAGACACCACTACACGTCCACCAGAATGGCTAAAATTAAAATGACTGATAAAACCAAGTGCTGCTGAGGATGTGGATCACCCAGAACTCTTATACATCGCTGGAAGGAGTGTACATTGGTACAATCACTTGGGAAAACTGGCAGTGTCTCCTATAGCTAAATATACATCTATTCTATGACCTCGCAATTCTACTCCTAGGTGTATACACAAAAGAAATGAGTAAAGTCTAACAAAACACATATACAAGAATATTCACAGCAGCTTAATCCATAAGAGCCCTAAACTGGAAACAACCCAAAGGTACATCATCAGGAGAAGATATAAATAAATTGTGGCATATTCAGGCAATGGGATAGTATACACCAATAAATAGGAACACACAACTGATAACACAACATCAATTAGTCTTACAGACATTATGTTGCAAAGAAGCCAGATACAGAAAAGTAAATATTGTATGGTTCCATTTATGTGATGTTCAAGAACAGGCAAAACTAATCTATAGTGATAAAAGTCAAAACAATCTCTGGAGGGTGGATATTAACAGCAAAGGAGCACAAGGAATCTTCTAGGGTGCTGGAAATATCCTATATCTGATTAGAGTGGTGCTTATATGAGTGTGTGTTCATATATACATATATATATATATGTAAGATAATCTATTGAGCTACACACAAAAGATTAGTGCAATAATACTAAGATTATTATCAACTGACATATCAATTTAAAAAGTGAAAAAAAAAAAACTCCCACAAAGAAAATTCCAGGCTCAGATAGCTTCACTGTGAGTTCTTCCAAACATTTAAGAAAAAGGTAAAACCAATCTTAGATAAACTTTAAAAGAGAATAGAGAATGGCAATTAAGAAAATCTGGGGGCTGGCCCCGTGGCTTAGCGGTTAAGTGTGCGCGCTCCCTTGCTGGCAGCCTGGGTTCAGATCCTGGGCACGCACCGACGCACCACTTCTCCGGCCATGCTGGGCCCACGTCCCACATACAGCAGCTGGAAGGCTGTGCAACTGTGACATACAACTATCTACTGGAGCTTTGGGGAAAAAAAAAAAAAAAAATCTGAAAGTAGTTTAAACTGCTTATTGAATATTAACGAATTATTTCTAATTTTGTTAGGTTTGATAATATACTGTGATTTTTAAAAAAGTGCTTATCTATTAGAGATACCAAGTAAAGTACTCATGGGTGAAACGATATGAGGTTTGGGATCTGATTTAAAATACTAGAGCTCCCTCAAAAAAAAATTATGGGGGTGATAAATGAAACAGAATCGGCAAACAGTGACTGATAAGTGTTAAAGCTGAGTGATGAGTATACATGAGTTTGTTATACCATTCTATTTTGCATGCTTTCTAAGATGTATATAATAAAAAGTAGAAAAAAAATCTCTGTAAAATCCCATTAATAAACAAATGTTTTCTTTTTTTTCTTTGGTGAGGAAGATTCGCCCTGAGCTAACATCCACTGCCAATTTTCCTCTTTTTTTTTTTTGTATGTGAGCTGCCGCCACAGCATGGCCACTGACAGACGAGTGGTGTAAGTCCACGCTCAGGAACTGAACCTGGGCCTCTGAAGTGGAGTGTGCCGAACTTAACCACTAGGCCACTGGGGCTGGCCCACAAATGTTTTCTTAAAAAATAGAACAAAAAACCTATGTAGGTTTTGACAACACTTGAACATAAAGGACAAAGAAGGATGAAGAATCAAACTCAGAGAATAAACAAAAACTAAGAAGCAAAAAACTAGTGTGCTCCTTATAATCATAAAAGAATCTGGAGAAATGATGGGAAAAATAATATGCTGTTTTCAATTCTGTTAAGTTTCAAGTAAGAAAAACAAGTAGAGAAGTCCAACAGACAGCTAAGGACAAGGGACTGGCAGTCAGAGTTACAGAAGTAAACTTAGGGAGAAATTCATATGCACATCTCAGGTGAAATCAGCAGAGTAATGGGGGTGTGGTGGTAAGAGCAGGGGATCTAAGAAGACGACTAAAATCAAGTGTTGGCTCCATTAATTACGAGCTGCATGATCTTGGGTAAGTGACAACTTCTCTGAGACAGAGCTTCTTCATCAATAAAATGATAACGATGTAATCAAAACACAGGGTTCTATTTTAGGGAGGATCAAATGAAAACATGGTGTAAACTGTAATACACCAGTGGTAGCTGTGTTTAGTAGATAAGTTCCCTAATGGAATACACAGAGAAGCACAGAAAGAGAAGGTTCAGAATGAGCCTTGTGATATAACCAAGATTAATGATCAGAAAAGAATGAACACAGAACTGCAAAGATTAAAGAGAGGAAAACAATCTAAGAAAGATGCCTTAGGAGGAAAACATGTCAAGGAAGCCAAGAAAAGAAGTACTGTAGGGGCAGGGGGGGAAATACAGCCAAAAATTAATAAAGAAGTCAAAAGGGGAAACAATTTCATATACAGTTGGCAAGAAATACACCAAATCTCCATTATAAGTATTCTCTGCACATGAAATTCTATCCTCATACGACATGTGCCATTTAGGAAATGTGACAGAACACATGGATTTATCAGTACCTCTAAATAGAAGGCAGAATAGGTAACAATGCACATATTTTCCTTCATTATAATGGAAAGGGAAGAGTATTTTGAGAAGATAAAGTGAGTTAGATGAAAAGAAGTAAATGATCCTATAGTTTCTATAGGTTAAGAATATGGAAAATCATTATTATGCATTCTTTCTAAATGGAAAATATAAGAAAATTAACATGAAAATGCTTCCCCTTGTGAACTCATGGGAAATAACTGAGTAACTGTCATCGAAGCAATATTTTTTTTTGTGAGGAAGATCAGCCCTGAGCTAACACCTGATGCCAATCCTCCTCTTTTTTGCTGAGGAAGATTGGCCCTGAGCTAACATCCGTGCCCTTCTTCCTCCACTTTATCTGGGACGCCGCCACAGCATGGCTTGACAAGCAGTGCGTCGGTGCATGCCCAGGATCCAAACCTGCAAACCCCGGGCTGCCAAAGCGGAGCATATGCACTTAATCGCTGTGCCACTGGGCTGGCCCCCAAAGCAATATTTTTAAAAGGTGAGATTTTTCTAAAATTGACAACTATTGACCAACTCACCCCCACGGAGCAGCTGACAAGTGTAAGTATAGTGAGCAATGCCCAACTAAAAAGCACTTTTCCCTTTCCCAAGAGATTTTAAAAGACCTAGTGAAATAAGCAGTTTTAGATCTCTAGAAAAGGCAGAGTAAGGTTTTACAGTGTTTCTGTATTTTATGTCAGAGGAATATCACTTATTAACCTTATGCTGCAGAAGAGAGCTAGGTAATGTCAGTGTATTTGCCATCTGCAGCAATATATCATCCTTATTTATTTCAAAGGGAATTTTTCTACATTTGTATTTCCTTTAAAAACACAAAACAAGCAAAAAGGGACAAAAAGAGGTTATCCAAAAAGGAACTACATAACGAATTGTGAAGGTAACAAATTAAGTAACATTTTTCACAGAAACAGAACAAAGAATCCTAAAATTTATATGGAACAACAAAAGACCCCGAATAGCCAAAGGAATCCTGAGAAAAGAGAACAAAGCTGGAGGTATCACACTTCCTGATTTTAAAACATACTACAAAGCTATAGTAACCAGAACAGCATTGTATTGGCACAAAAACAGACACACAGATCAATGGAACAGAATCGAGAGCCCAGAAATAAACCCTCACATCTCTGGACAGCACATTTTCGACAAGGGAGCCAAGAATAAACAAAGGAGAAAGGAAAGTCTCTTCAATAAATGGTGTTAGGAAAACTGGATAGCCACATGCAAAAGAATGAAAGTATACCATTATCTTACACCATACACAAAAATTAACTCAAAATGGATTAAAGACTTAAATGTAAGACCCGAAACTATGAAACTTCTAGAAGAAAACACAGGCAGTACGCTCTTCGACATTGGTATTAGCAGCATATTTTCTTTTCTTTTCTTTTTTTTTATAATTTTATTTATTTATTTATTTTTCCCCCAAAGCCCCAGTAGACAGTTGTATGTCATAGCTGCACAACCTTCCAGTTGCTGTACGTGGGACGTGGCCTCAGCATGGCCGGAAAAGCGGTGTGTTGGTACGCACCCAGGATCCGAACCCGGGCCGCCAGCAGCTGAGCGCGCGCACTTAACCGCCAAGCCATGGGGCCAGCCCTAGCAGCATATTTTCAAATACCGTGTCTGACCAGGCAAGTGAAACAATAGAAAAAATAAACAAATGGGGCTACATCAAACTAAAAAGCTTCTGCACAGCAAAGGAAACCATCAACAAAACAAAAAGACAGCCTAACAATTGGGAGAAGATATTTGCAAACTATATATCTGATAAGGGGTTATTAATATCCAAAATATATAAAGAACTCATGCATCTCAACAACAAAAAAACTAACAACCCATTTAAAAAATGGGCAAAAGATCTGAACAGACATTTCTCCAAACAAGATACACAGATGGCCAAGAGGCACATGAAAAGATGTTCAACATCATTAACTATCAAGGAAATGCAAATCAAAACTACAATAAGATGTCACTTCACATCCATCAGAATGGCTGTAATTAACAAGACAGGAAACAAGTGTTGGAGAGGATGTAGAGAGAAGGGAACTCTCATACACTGCTGGTGGGAGTGCAAACTGGTGCAGCCACTATGGAAAACAGTATGGAGAGTCCTCAAAAAATTAAGGCTAGACCTACCACACCATCCAGCTATTCCACTGCTGGGTATTTACCCAAAGAACATGAAAACATGAATGCGTAAAGATAACATGCACCCCTATGTTCACTGCAGCATTATTCACAATAGCCAAGACTCGGAAGCAACCTAGGTGCCCATCAAGAGAGGAATGGATAAAGAAGATGTGGTATATATACACAATGGACTAAGTACTACTCAGCCATAAAAAAAAAAAAACAATGAATCTGGCCATTTGTGACAAGATGCAAGGACCTCGAGAGTATTACGCTAAGTGAATTAAGTCAGAGGAGAAAGTCAAATACCATATTATCTCACTCATAAGTAGAAGAGGAAAACAACAACAAACAAACACATAGAGACAGAGATTGGATTGGTGGTTACCAGAGGGGAAGGGGGGGAGGGGGAAAGGGGTGATTAGGCACATGTGTATGGTGATGAATTATAATTAGTCTTTGAGTGGTGAACATGATGTAATCTACACAGAAAACAAAATGTAATGATGTACACACACAAATCTATATAAGAAATTGTGAAGGTAACAAATTAAAGGCTACTAATCAAATAAAGACCTTATGTAAGAGATTGTTTCTTTTTACATAGTTTAAATATTGGTTCTTTCCTTGTGTTCTAGAAAGGGTTGTTTTCGTTTGTTGATTTGTTTCACTTTCCCCCTTCCATTTGAGAGTCAAAAGTTATCAGGAGAAAGGCAATTTAAATAGCATATAAATATGGTTACAGAGGCAAGTTACGACAGAAAATCCATATTTATTATCAAAACTGGAAGCACAGACTGGGAGATGTACTTAGAAGTTAAATGGTCATATCCAGAGAATGTTAAATATGCTTGCCTACAAGGAGAAACACCCTACTATTACAAGGCATAATCCTTATGAAGCCATAAGTCTCCTTTGGGTGAAAATCACAGCACCTGCCCTAAAACCAAACATTTGACTCAATTAAAGACTAATAAAAAATTAATAATCATTTTCTTGGGTGTTGACCTTTCCTGTCTATCTGTGCCCACAGTCTATTTAAATAGAGACCAAAATGTTGACTACACTAATTTGTAAAACAATAAATCCTACACTGTGGCTACTCATGAACCACTTAAACAGTAATAGAGTTTAGACACTCATTAATGGAAGTGCAATTACTCTAACCCTTCCGGGATCAAATTCTACTTAAAGTTCATTATGATTAATGAAGGAAGGAGATTCCGAAAAGATTCCAAGATACTCATTATAAGAGTTTATTAGAGTATTGCTCCTCCCAAATTAAAATTTTAAGACAGCTAAAAAGCAAGAGTTCCACGTTACCTGAGAACATGTTCATAATAAAATTTCCTTGATACGATCAATTTAATTTGGTAAAAAAGGCACAGGTAACTGGAAAACTATGTCTACAAAGAATCTAGGCTGCTTTTACAAAACAATCGTGCACAAATTATTTCATTAACAGCTTTAAAGCATAAGAGAAGTAGTATCTGCTAACTTTATCCATAAGCTTCAATCAAAGTTACAGTAAAGGATAAAGACAGCTAAGTGTACTTATAGGCTTTTTTCCAAGCTTTCAACTCTGGGAAGATTTCTAGCCTCATCTTACTGGTGACTTAAGCAACTTTCAAACTATCAGTTTAGAAGGTCTTCACCACAATTTTCTAAAGCCATAACCTTATCTACTCCCAAACAGAACACAGAGGGGCCTTTCACTCATTGTGGGTGTGGTCACTGGTATTCAGATGGAGCCCCCAGGGCAGTATAGAAGGTTTGCAAAATGCATAGCAAATTCTTTTCTAGGCTATAAATGCATGAGGAAGACTAACTCTGTCTAAACAGAGTCACTTCTCACTCAAATCTAGTTCACTTGCTTACCTCCCATGATGTATTGGCAAGTGTTTGCGATGGATTCCATGACTTCCTTCCACAAAAGCATTGGGAGGCTTATGGTACACAGAAGCCAAAGAACCAATGTGGCAGATTAGCTCATCCAGCAAAGTTGGCTCAATAAGATCTGTCTCCTCAGAGATCAGTGGCTTCTCAGACAAGACTACCTCTTTGGCTGTGACAGGGTCCGTTGAGAGAAGACGCCAATAAATATAGCCCCGGTCTCGAAGGTCAGGATTATCAGAATCCTAAAGAAAAGGCAAAGGCAAGAGGGTTTAAATGGAACCTTCATTCTGTTTCTCCATACAGAAACCCAAACTGCTGGATTTTTATTAAGGCAACGCTGCAGTGATTTATGCAGAGTTGGCTGTTAAGAAGATACTTAGACTTGATATAGTTTTAATACAGTCATAATTCTGTAATCTCTAATGTTTCAAAGAATTTAAATACACAATAAATTGATGGGTTAGTCCTAAGACTCAAATTCAAAGGGAAGTTGGGAAAAGGAAAATAAAGTTTAATCTGGTAAAAATTAACTACTTGAGATGGCTCTGGGATACAAAAATAATATATATATATATTTTTGTGAGGAAGATCAGCCCTGAGCTAACATCTGCCAATCCTCCTCTTTTTGCTGAGGAACACTGGCCCTGGGCTAACATCCATGCCCATCTTCCTCCACTTTATATGGGACACCGGCATAGCATGGTTTGACAAGCAGTGCAACGGTGTGCGCCCGGGATCCGAACTGGCGAACCCCGGGCCGCCGCAGCAGAGCGTGCACACTTAACCGCTTGTGCCACCGGGCCGGCGCCTAAAAAATAATACTTTTTAACTGCTGTAAACATTAGCAGGATTATTCATGAAATATATCTTACATATACTTCACACATACCTTCTTTCTTCATTCAAATATTTATTAAGTATCTCCTAGGGAGACACTGACTAGACTCTGGGAATAAAGAGGTAACACAAAATGCTTGACTTTAACGAGCTCACAGAATATTACTTATTACAATATAGTATGAGAAATACTATTATTTAAATAATAAAAAAATTGTTAAAGAGAGCATGTAATAAGTGCTTGCAAAAGGAGAGATACTTGAATTTAGTGGTCTTGTTTTGCTCATGCCCACGGCTCATGAGCTAAAAAAGAATTATTATCAACGCCACATCAAAATTTAGAAGTGTATAATAGGGGCCAGCCCTGTGGCCCAGTGGTTAAGTTTGGAGCGCTCCCCTTCAGCAGCCCAGGTTCGGTTCCCAGGCGCAGACCTACACCACTTGTCAGTGGCCATGCTGTGGCGGCAACCCACATACAAAATAGAGGAAGATCAGCACAGATGTTAGTTAGCTTGGGGCGAATCTTCCTCAGCAAACAAAAAAAAAAAAAAAAAAAAAGAAGATGTGTATAATATAAAAATAAGTCTCCCCCAATCATCCAACCCTTGCCCACCTTAATTCCCCATCCCCAAAACAGCCATATTAACAGTGAGGTATATATCTTTCCAGACAGCTCCCACACGTACATATGTTTATTTTACACAAAACCAGTTTCACATTATATGTACTGCTCTGCAAGTTGCTTTCCATATTGGCACATACAGCTGCAGTTTTCCATAGTATATGCAGCACTGCATCATTTACTAGTGCCCTATTGATGGACACTTAGATTGTTGCCTCTTTCTCCCTCCTTCCCACCTTTTATTTATTTATTTATATATTATTTCTTTATTTTTGTGATCAGTACAAAGTAGCAATAAACATCCTGGTGTCTACCTCTCAGAGTATGCCAATATAGTGGCATTTATTTATTCACGCGTTGTTCCAGTGGTATCATGCTATTAAAGGCAACACTAAGTCCCTGTTTCAATTTCTGTATTTAAAACACACATACAAAAATATTTTCGTTAAACTAGGCCAATTTGAGGGCTTCCACGTGAGTTTCTAAGTAAGCAGATGAACTGGTTCATGATTTAGCCACTTAAGGCACTTATCATTCAGCTCAATACCAGCAGTGACCCCCGATGGTTTTAACTACAAGGTTTTAAATGTTTTTTCTTAGTCATAAATTATTTAATTTGTACTCATAATGAATTGCTGGTTAAAGACAAAAAAGCATAAAGTACATTGAGATATATACAGCAAGTTAATATAGTATAAAAATAAATCTTACCTCAAGATAATCTTTTTTTTGTGTGTGTGTGTGAGGAAGATTAGCCCTGAGCTAACATCCGTGCTAATCCTCCTCTTTTTTTTTTTTAGCTGAGGAAGACCGGCTCTGAGCTAACATCTATTGCCAATCCTCCTCCTTTTCTTTTTTCCCCAAAGCCCCAGTAGATAGTTGTATGTCATAGTTGCATATCCTTCTAGTTGCTGTATGTGGGACGCGACCTCAGCATGGCCGGAGAAGCAGTGCATGGGTGCACGCCTGGGATCCGAACCCAGGCCGCCAGCAGCGGAGCGTGTGCACTTAACCGCTAAGCCACGGGGCTGGCCCCAAGATAATCTTTATCACATTCACAGGTTGCATTACGCATAGAAATGAATATATATATGTACATTATATATCATATCAAAATGTTTATAATATTTAAAATGCCAGGGTTGAAAAAAGGAAACAGTGATAATATCCAATTTAGGTGATTTTGTTTTGTTTTGTTTTGGGAGGGGGAATTTGCTCCTGAGGAAGTGTTTATAAATAGCAGCTTGAAACCTTCTCACATAGATTTTCATTTGGAAACAAAGCTTAAACATTATAAAACATAAACAGGGTGATTTTTTAAAAGAGCAGAATACAAGTTCCTCAAAATATCAGGTCAGGAAAGCAATCCCCAACCAGCTTTTGTTGATATATAAATTTTAATCTATATATTCAGTCCCCAAAGCACATTATTTAAAATTTGTGGACTAATTATACTGTTTATTACACAATTAAAATGAACAGTGTACATCACTTAATTGGGAAAATTCCATTTGTCTTTATAGACTAGTGATATTTTTAAAGGTATTAAAATAAACTTTATAATACAGTTTAATAATATACTGACCAAAATACTTTTTACTTCAAATTATATCTCTCATATATCATGCACATATTTAACCAAATGGCAAAAAAAAAAAAAAAAATCCTGTGGAGATTCACAAAATTATATCCTTTCATGAAAAAAATTTATGAGTCTTCCCACAAATTCAAAACACTGCAATAGGGCAAACTGCTGTAGATAGAATCACTGGATCAAAGAATATACACATTGTAAATCTTAATGGACACTGACTTTAAAAAGTGTCCTATGAAAGGGGCCGGCCCGGTGGCGCAAGCGGTTGGGTGCGCGCGCTCCGCTGCAGCGGCCCGGGGTTCGCTGGTTCGGATCCCGGGCACGCACCAACGCACTGCTTTGGCAAGCCATGCTGTGGCGGCGCCCCATATAAAGTGGAGGAGGATGGGCACGGATGTTAGCCCAGGGCCGTCTTTTGTCCTATGAGAAATAAGTACAAATTTTTCAGGTCTGAAAGTCAAGAGCAGGCAAGGATCTCTATTGTTGGAACTCTGCTGTTCTGAGGGCTGATTCCTTGGGCCTACTATAAGCTGGCCTTCACCACCTCACTATTCACATGGAGGTCACAATATATCTGGCTCAGTCAAGACTTGTGACAAGAAAACCACCACTTTATGATTTTAAGGTGCCATTCCATATTTGGTGATTTAGAAAATCTGGTTTTGGATCTACATACTGCTAGCCCCACAGGCCCTTGTCAGGATCTCAAGAAAAATAATATATTTCTAATAATTTGAAAGCTTCCAAAACAATTCTTACCAGACAAGCTCTGAAACCGTAATTTTTTTTTTTACATTTTCTTTATTGTGAAATTTTTATTGTACATTATTGTTTGTCAGTCACCATATAAATGCATCCCTTCACCCCTTGTTCTCATCCCCCACCCCCCTTGCCCCTGGTAACCACCAAACAGTTCTCTCTGTCCATGTGTTGGTTTATCTTCCACTTATGAGTGAAATCATGTGGTGTTTGTTTTTCTCTTTCTTATTTCGCTTAACATAATACCCTCCAGGTCCATCCATGTTGTTGCAAAATGGGACAATTTTGTCTTTTTTTTTTATGGCTGAGTAGTATTCCACTGTATATGTATACCACATCTTCTTTATCCACCCATCAGTTGAGGGACACTTGGTTTGCTTCCATGTCTTGGCTATAGTGAATAATGTTGCAGTGAACATAGGGGTGCACAAGCCTCTTTGGATTGCTGATTTCAGGTTCATTGGGTAGATACCCAGTAGTGGGATAGCTGGATCATAGGGTATTTCTATTTTTAATTTTTTGAGGAATCTCCTTACTGATTTCCATAGAGGCTGTGCCAGTTTGCATTCCCACCAGTAGTGAATTAGGGTTCCCGTTTCTCTACAGCCTCTCCAGCATTTGTTTTTTGTCTTGGTGATTATGGCCATTCTAACGGGTGTAAGATGATATCTTAGTGGGGTTTTGATTTGCATTTCCCTGATGATTAGTGATGTTGAACATCTTTTCATGTGCCTACTGGCCATCTGTATATCTTCTTTGGAGAAGTGTCTGTTCATTTCCTCTGCCCCTTTTTTGATCGGGTTTTTTTTTTGTTGTTCAGTTGTGTGAGTTCTTTATATATTATGGAGATTAGTCCCTTGTCAGATATATGGTCTGCAAATATTTTTTTGCCAGTTGGTGGGTTGTCTGTTCATTTTGATCCTGGTTTCATTTGCCTTGTAGAAGCTCTTTAATCTGATGAAGTCCCACTTGTTTATTTTTTCTTTTGTTTCCCTTGTCTGAGTAGACATGGAATTCGAAAAGATCCCTTTATGACCAACGTCGAATAGTGTATTGCCTATATTTTCTTCCAGGAGCTTTAAAGTTTCAGGTCTCACCTTCAGGTCTTTGATCCATTTTGAGTTAATTTTTGTGTATGGTAAGAGAAGATGGTCTACTTTCATTCTTTCGCAAGTGGCTCTCCAGTTTTCCCAGCACCATTTATTGAAGAGACTTTCCTTTCTCCATTGTATGTTCTTAGCTCCTCTGTCGAAGATTAGCTGCCCGTAGATGGGAGGTTTTATTTCCGGGCTTTCAATTCTGTTCCATTGATTTCTGTGTCTGTTTTTGTACCAGTACCACGCTGTTTTGGTTACTACTGCTTTCTAGTATGTTTTGAAGTCAGGGATTGTGATGTCCCCAGCTTTTTCTTTTTTCTCAGGATTGCTTTAGCTATTCCGGGTCTTTTGTTGCCTCATATGAATTTTAGTATTTTTTGTTCTATTTCCATGAAGAATGCCCTTGGGATTCTGATTGGGATTGCATTGAATCTAAAACAGTAATTCTTAAACTATAATGTGCATCATCATTTTAATACACCAGGAGAGCCATTAAAAGTGCAGATTCCAGGGCCAGCCCAGTGGCGTAGTGGTTAAGTTCATGCACTAAGCTTTGGTGGCCCGGGATTCACAGGACCTATGATCCCGGGCACGGACCTACGCACCGCTTATCAAGCTATACTGTGGCTTGTAGAGGAGGATGGGCACGGATGTTCCTCTTTTTGCTGAGGAAGATTGGCAACAGATGTTAGCTCAGGGCTAATCTTCCTCACCAAAAAAAAAAGTGCAGATTCCAGGGCCAAATCACAGAGATTCTGATTCATTATGTCAGAACTGGGGCCCAGGAATTAGTATTTTCAGCAAGCAGCACAGGTGATTTTGATGATGGTTGTCTCTAGCTCATAGAAAAACTAAGACGACGACTTATGTTCCATGTACTACAAAGGATAATTACTAAAGTCTGGACACTTCTGTGTATATTCTTTACTAACTCCTCTATAACGATCAAAGGAAAAAAGACAAACATTTAAAATGAAGCCATGGATTCAAGGGTTTATTTTCTTTCCCCCTAACTAAGAATATTTCTGATTACACCACCATTTTATTTCAAATTAGAAGCACAAAGATTTCACACATACTTCACGGAATTCTCCGCACAGGTAAAGAACAGTGTTAACCCTACTGCAGAGATAGGAGAACAGCAGCATGAAAGATAAATTTGCTTAGTCGTGTCCTGAACCAGTGGAGGTGGCAGATACAGAACCCTACCACCCAATTCAAATTAACGCAATTCAGCAGATCACACTGCCCTCAACTTAAATTGGTACTTACAGCCATAAATATTAGGTTCTTATTTCACAAACTTGAGGAAAAAATCCCAAGGAAAACTTCCAGTGGAAAAGATTTATATAAATGTGTTTGTTCTTTTATGCTAACTCCTCAGATCTCATTAATTGGACAGAAAAGGCAAGCCTAGAGAAACAGCTTAATAATTATTTGTAGCCAAATATGAAATAACCATCCACAATGATCTTAAAACTACTAAGTTCAGGGGCCGGCCCCGTGGCCTAATGGTTAAGTTCAGCATGTTCCACTTTGGCGTCCTGGGTTTGGATCCCAGGCGTGGACCCTCACCACTTGTCGGCGGCCATGCTGTGGCGGCGACCCACATACAAAACAGAGGAAGACTGGCACAGATGTTACCTCAGGGCGAATCTCACTCAGCAAAAAACAAACAAACAAAAAAAACCTACTAGGTTCACTTATACATACTGGCTTAGGCACAGTAGTGCAGGGAAAGCAGGGAATGGGTATCCTCAAAGTCATTCTTAACCTTCAGACTAGAGAAGCAACATAGCATAGAGGATAAGGACAAAGGCTCTGGAGCCAGGCTGCCTGGGTTTGAGTCCTAGCTCTGCTCCATACTAACTAGGCCTCTCTAGGTTTCAGTTTCCTCATCTACAAAATAGTATCATTCCTTATTGAGATTGAGTAAATATGTAAAGTGCTTACCAGAATGTCTCGTACATAGTAAGCACTATACAAATGATTGTTGTTATTAAGATTCTATATTAGTCCTTGTACACAAAGCCTCGAATCAGGAATGTCTGATGGTTTATTTATACCCCACCCTGTTCTAGAAAAGGATTAGGAAAGCTTACAAAAACACATCTAAGGCTAGAGAGCATAAATTAGAACTAGAGGCAGAAAAATACATGCCATGATGACCTACACGTTTTCTACAGGAGATCCTTAAATTCAATTCTAAGGTTTCAAACAACTGATATGAAAAAGATCTCTAGTCAGGTAAGCCAGTCAGAGGGGCAGTTAACTACAGACCAATGTATAGGAGAATCCAAAACTGGTTAGCAATTTGTTTGATGGGGTCTCATAAAGAAGAAAACATACAATGGAATAAACAATGACTTTGACAGCAGATCCAAACAGGATAGTTTCTCATGACAACTCTTACTACAGGATGATGATATCACTGTAATTCAGGAAAAGCAATTCTATTAGGGGTCAAATAAAATGCAGTCTAGATACCCAGCTCTCTACTAATCTGGCTTGATTCAGTGGTGAATTTCAACTATCTGTAAGAACAAAGACTCCTTGTATCCTTTAAGAAATCCTCCCCAAACACTTTATCTCAGGCAAATTTAGATAAATACTGGGAGGTAATAAGACTCAGTTTGAACTCTTACAATAATCCAAAATACAGCTCTCCTATGCTGCCTGTTAAATACAGACACATAGGCCTTAATAAACAATGGAGATGGAGACAGGGTTGACAATTCGTGAACAGAATGGAACCTACCGAGGACACTTGCTTGATTAGATTGTATTTAGAGGTGAGCAGAGCGAGAGTAAGGCCAAAATTCTCTTTAGAAGATTGTTTTGACTCCATCTTAGCAATACAAATGGGTGATCGAGGGTCTAGACTCGGAAGTCTAGAATGCTCAAATGAATACAGATAATATTAAATAACCACTACCTTGATGGTTATGGAAATTGCTTTGCTTCAGGCAAAGAAAGATGATTAATACGGAAGTTTTAAAAAACACTTCAAAGAGCTCTTACAAACAAATTTTAAAAGACATAAAATTAATAGTAGGAAAGATGACACTCAAAACTAGGCAAAGGACTATGAAAGGGTTTCAAATTTTGATAAAGAGATGAGAGAGAAAAATGGTAAACTGAATATCTGAATCACATTCCATATGTAGACATACATCTTAACTCTTGACAGCCTGCTAAAGCCAGCCTATTCTCTAATTCAATTAAGAACATTACTAAATCACGATAAACTGATGATTACTATACTAGTTACACTAGAAAAAATAATTATTTTGATCTCTGTGGATCTAAAATGGTGATCTGATCTCTAAGGCCAGTGCCACATTCCTGAAATCAGAACTCATCCTAGGAAGGACCAAAAATATCAAATAATTAAGGAAGCTGTATGAACACTTTAAAGTTATTTAAAGAGAAAGGCAATAGTCTAGAAGATAAAACAATATACGAGATCTCTGTTGAGGCAGCATTTACCATCTTGACACGGTACTTTCATTTGAAAGCTAAAATTAAATCACTCAGAAGGAGGTACCAGGAGACTCAATGTCACTTTCACGTAGGATGTCCTTCCTTCATTAACACTAAAGAATCTAAGTTCAATTTTCATTAATTGTCATAAAAACTGGACTCAGTCAATTCATTTAAAAGCCATACAACCAGCTATAATTCAGTGGAATATGTGTTAAGAGACACTGTTTGTATATTTTAACAGGATCTGAGACTGGATCCCTTCCAATTAAAACCTCCCCAAATGAAGCTTCTTGGGAAGAGTTTCATAATTTCCTACAATTTAAAACAAGAAAAATCAACCCCATGCTTTTTCCAGGTTTCTTACCTGTGTTGCCAAACTCAAGACCTGCTGTACCAGCTCCTGCGTTTCTGATGGTTTCTTGAGAAACAACTTCACTATGGCAGTAAGCAGAGTGAGCTGCACCTAAGCAGACATAATTTAATAGATAAAGTGAAAGGCATTTGTATTATTCCATACTATCATTTCCAAAGTGGTGTTTCCCCAAATATGAATTACTATGGGGTCTTTCTGATTTTGATTAAGAGACAAAGGTTAAAACTCAGCCAATATCAACAATAGCAGTCAAAGGTATTCATCAACCGAAAACTCACTAGCCTCCTATCCCCAAACTGCTTTTTTGGCATCAAAAATTGCTTGTTTGTTTCTGGCCCAGATAATCACCTGTATTTTTTAAAATACATGCTAATATACTGATTAGCCATAAAACTGGTTCCTGACCAAGGTCTTTATTATTATTATTATTATTTTTTTAATTTTATTTATTTATTTTTCCCCCAAAGCACCAGTACTTAGTTGTATGTCATAGTTGCACATCCTTCTAGGTGTTGTATGTGCGACACGGCCTCAGCATGGCCAGAGAAGCGGTGCATCGGTGCGTGCCCGGGATCCAAACCCGGGCCGCCAGCAGCGGAGTGCGCGCATTTAACCGCTAAGCCACGGGGCCGGCCTAGGTCTTTATTATTTACGTCCACTAAAAGCTACAACTTCGGGAGAATTAGGAAATTATCTGTCATACTGGGGCAGGGGCCAAGAGGGTAGAATTATGTCAGATCACAGCCAATTACGAGCGGGCTGCTGAACCACAAACCTACTGGCTTATATGTGTTCCTTGTAAAGGCCTATTAAAATTACTATGGTGGATTATATACATGAACTTCAATTTGCAGTGCATACAAATGCCAGAGAAAAAGGGTTGAATAATTTATCTCAGGTCTCTCAATTTTGGTAGAGGAGAGAGAGGAGATGGGAACAATTCTAACCATCCAGAGAATCTTTTCAAACTACACATGCTGGCCCTCACCCCAGGCCCAGGTAAAAAAAAAAACCCTGCCATGATGAGCCACAACTATTACTAATAGGAATGGGTAATCATATTCAGGTGACAGAATATTAAAAAATGGTAACTAATGCTCTAAGCCAGGAGTGTTAAAGTGTGGTTCTGGAGCAGCAGCAGCATCACCCTGAACACCTTGTAAGAAATGAAAATGCTTAGACCCATCTCAGACCTACTGAGCCAGAAACTCTAGGGGTGGGGGCCCAGCAGCCCGCTTGAACAAGCTCTACAGGTGCTTCCAAGGCTCATTAAAGTTTGAGAACCACTGCTCTAAGTTAGGCAGGTTTATTTCACCAGAAATCAGCACAACTGAAAAAGATCATCCCTTTTGGGAGAAAAATGAACATACTACTTATAAATACACACACACACAAATTCACACACACACATGAAACTGCCTTACCTTTACTTTCCCTGAAATCTTGCCCAAAATATCTATAACATAGGATATAGATGAGAACTTACCTGGGTGCTTTCATCATGAAAACCTTCCAGGAAGCTCTCTAGTAATTCATCTGCATTGTCAATTCTTTCAGCATATTCTCCCACAATCCAAATCATAGCTGCTCGAGCGTCTGGCTCATCCAGTGAGTCTAAGTTCTCACAGAGAGTAGCAATGATACTTTCATACCTGATATAACAAAAAGGACTACGCTTACTGAGGGCAAAACTGAGAACTGCGTTCAACAACAAAGGCTAAAGGCAAAACCACAGACAAGGTACCCTAAAGCAAACCACCAAACTATAAAGGCTTTTAGTCAAGAGAATGTATAGGTTTTAAGCCAGAAGATTATAAATGTTTTAAATTTCCCTTCAATTATGTTTTAATAGCTAGTCCTGAAACCTTTATAAAAGCTCATCAGCTATTCTTTTCACAAGGAAAAATTAACCTGCGATGTAAGATAATACCACTACCTTATATTTCTAACCATCTTTCTTATATCCTATTATGACCAGTTACATTACAAATAATTCTTACCTAGCCAATTTCAAAGTGCCTTACTTAAACATTTCCCAAATGATTTGAGGAAGCAGGGTAGAAGAATTTGGACATACTTGTTGGGGTATTTGCGGAAGATGTCCCTGATGACAACAATCGCCTCTTGGACCACATAATTTACTTTGGTCTGGATGAGATCAAGTAATGTGCTTACACAGCGCTCTGCAGATTGCTGCGAAGAGGAACATAATAAATGAGAAGTCAGATGATCTGTCCAATAATATAACCTCAACATAAAAAAAATTTGAAACATACAGGTGCATCAACTAAACTAGACTAAAAGATCAGGCACTTAATTTCACCAAGCTACATTAGAGGCTGAGCTATCTGATGGAGACATGCAGAAGTTCCAGATATACCCCAAATTTTACTCATTACAAAATAAACTGACAGATGAGTCAGTTCAAATGAAAAGAACCTTGGAGAGCCAAGAGAATAGAAATTAGAAGAAAGAATAAGTCAAGGTAGAAGGAAAGAATAAAAGAATAAGCTAAGGTGAGAAGTCTTTATCTGGAGTTCACGGATGAGTGGAGACAGCAGATGGCATCTTTAAAGTTCCTGAAATGAAACCGCCAAATTTCATATGTTTATACAAGCATATTTTCCAGGGAGAGGGTCTACAGCTTTCATTATATTTCCAAAGTTATCTGTGGCTCAAAAAACTCTAAGGAAAATTTGCCATCTTTTGTCCTACATAACAAAGTCTAGGCCTTAGATAAATCGTAATTTTTCACAGCCTATAGTTCATCTATAAAATAGAATTTAATCTATTAATCGTTTATTAATGAAGGGAACAGGGGAAAATACAAGTGAGAAAACTAATGTACTGAAACTATAAGTCATGGTTTTTAAAAGCAGAAGGGTCCCAGAAGGGAAAAATCCTAAAAATCAAGGACTGATTTATCATATATTACAATGTACTACAATGGGTCTCTCCATTGTATGCCTCCTGATAAGATGCAACAGCAAGTACACAGTATCATCTAAGAGATATTCTTCCCCAAAACACTGAACACGAATATTACCAATCCTCTAGATTTAATTATCTACAGGGGATGGAGCAACGCAATAAACAACATCACTAAAATATAACCAGCCAAATCCAGACTCTGGGAAATTCTACAAGCCTAATGACCTAGTCCCTTCAATAAATGGCACCAAAATAAGCATGTAAAGACTTAAGAGGGGCCACACCCGAGGCCTAGTGGTTGGGGTTGGTGCACTCCACTTTGGCAGTCAAGGTTTGGTTCCTGGGTGCAGACCTACACCATTTGTTGGCGGCCATGCTGTGGTGGTGACCCACATGCAAAATGGAGGAAGACTGGCA